GATTTGAGGCCATTTCTCCTATCAGCACCCTCAAAAAGTGTATGGTCCTCAGCTCATGTTTGGAAAAATTGATCTTACCCTCAAATATTTGATTTTGTATGTGTTTTTTCCTGGAAAGTTTTGTTTCCTTGATCCTGGGTTGATGCTTGCTCAGTGACATCAGGAAAGATGGAATCCACTTATTAAAAGTCTAGGAAATAGCTCTACATTTGCCAATCTTCAAAAAGATAATAGAGAAAAGTGACAGAAAAATCAGTCAAAGTTCACTTTGAGAAAAAAAAAATAAAATCTGTAAATAGTTATTAAATAACAATTTGAAAGGTACTTGAGATGCATAACAGCCAACACAGTCACAAACAAATATCCTCATCATAACCAGTATAATTTTATTTTTTTGTTACAGGATAGCAGGGTTGTAAATGAAGGTGTGCTAGTTGCCTTATCTTGGGTAGAGTAAGGGTGTTTAAATTCTCTTGCATGTTTCTTTTTTATATTAAACAGTCTTAGGAAACCTGGTCTAGAAAGGATTCCTGTGAGATTGATGCACGGTTATTTACAGAGTGGAAGGGCTATCCCTCTATGATTCTATGTTCAGTATGTTGTATTACTGATAGGATGACAGAACATAGCATGTTTAATAAGTTTATATTTGGCAAATACAAACAAGACTATGAAATACACTGGAGGGCAGAACTGGAATGTAACTTGCTTGCAAAGGAAAATAAATACCTCAAAAGTAGGAAGAAGTTCAGCTGGGATGAGAGCTGTTTCTGTACTGAAAGGTTAGTATTTAGATAGCTAGTTTTTGGAAAAGAACCTGGTGATCGCAGTGGACCTCTAACAGAACACAATTTGCTGATGTTATGCTGTCGTAAAATACAGAAGTAAATATTGTATGAGATGTATCAACAGAAATTCAGTCTTAAAAGTAGTTCTACTTTTTTTCAGTCTTGGAAATATCTTGATGAGAGCTCTGCCTCTGTAGCATTTAGAAAAATACCTGAAGAATATGTGTGTGAGTGATTGAATGTTTAGAATGCATGATGTGTAGAGGAAGGTCAAAAGAACAGAGATACATTTCTTCTTCAGAACATTTTAAAGAATGGGAAAGACTATCACATCAAAAAGAATGTCCTGTCCCCCCTCCCCC